CAGCCCATGGATGGCTCACAACAAGGAGGATTGCCAAGTTCTAGGCCAGCTTGAACAACTTAGTGAGAACCTGTCTCAAAATGAAATATAAAAAAGGAACACACTTGGGTTCAATACCCATTACTCACTCTCTCTCTCTCTCTCTCTCTCTCTCTCTCTCTCTCTCTGTGTGTGTGTGTGTGTGTGTGTAAATACAGAAGGGCTGCTAATTGAGTATTTGTAAATATACTAAGTACACCAAGTTTCAAGGGTATGTCCTAAACTTGAAAATTTCTAATGGGATGCATGGCACTATCAATTCTTAATTCACATGGAAGAACAATGATTTTAGAAAGTATCTTTAATATATACTTGAATATGGGAATCGATAATTTCAGTTATACATTCATAGAATCAGAATGATTGAACTGAAAAGGAATTTAGAGATTGTTGAACCTAGTGATTCTCACAGTATGCCTGTGATCAGCAACATTTGGATCATTTGGAAACTTGGGAGAAATGCTRTTTCTCTGGTCCTGCTCCAGACCCACTTAATCAGAAACTCTGGAAGTAGGGAAAAATACTATAATTTGTTTTAATAAGCTCTCCAGGTGATGATTATGCATGCTAAAGTCTGAGAATCATTGGTTTAATCCAGACCTCTGAAGGGAAAGTGAGGAATGAGAGATAGGTGAGAGAGAAATTAAAGACAGAGACCAGGCAGAGATACACAAGAGAGTTTGTCAGAGCTGACAAATAAAGGCCGTCTCTCAATAGGAGAGAGGCAAAACAAGCTTGAGTTCTGGGACTTTTATGGGGGAGGCTCAGGAACCAGAGCCAGGTGGGCCCTAATGTGGGCAGTTAAGGGCTGGGTTCATATGAAGGAATGGTGAGCTTTTCTCAGAAAGGCACTTGGGCGGGAAAGTGAAACTTTTTCCTTAAAATGGTAGCTGTCACTTAAGATAGTTCTTCAGATGCTAAACAAGGACCTTATATTCAACCTTTTTTGTTTTTATTGGGCCCTTTAGGGAATAGGGACCTGGGTCAATCTTCTATAACTTCTTCCTGCCGGGAAGCAGTAGCGTTTGAATCCCTCATTAGGGGCATGAAATGATATTGGAATGATAGATGAGGTTGAGTGGTGGTGGAATGCTGTCCCTGATGCCCCAATTTTTGGTGAGGGATTGGTATTCCTGTAACAAAAGCTGGTTTATGGTTTGCTTAGAGATTTTTTGTATCTGGTCTTGAATGAATCTAATGACACAGGGGGCAAGCATTAACAGAAGGTCTATGACAAGAAGAGGGGTCAGGAAAGGAAGTGCTCACTGGAGAAGGGGGTTATTTAGCTGCCATCCTTCTGTAGAGAGCTGATATTTCGCATGTTCAAGGTTCTGTTGGAGTTGTTTTATCTTGTCCTTTACTATACCAGGTTGATTGACATAAAAATAGCATTCCTTCTGTAGATACAAAGTCCACCTTTTCTGGCCATAAAAAGATCAAGGCCCCTTCAATTCTGCAGAACCACAGCAGCTAAAGAATCAAGCTGGGATTGTATGGTTAGTATGGTTTGGGCAAGTTGCTATAAGTCTCCTAGAAATTGGAATGATAATTCCTAAAAATGGTACCCCTGGGAGGTGAGTGCAGAGTAAGGGAAGAGGGCAAAAATTAAAAAGAGAAGATGGTACTCATGGTTCTGCAGTGTCCTCGTGGTCCTCAGAGACCGAAGGAAGATTGGGGGTTCTGGCCTTGGAGAAACACAGTCTGAGAAGGCCTGTGGGCGTCACTGTATAAAAGGGTGGGGAAAACCACCCTTTCAAATGGGAATTATAAACCCAATATGGGAGGCCCTCAAGGTGGGCCCCTGAGGGAGTGATAAGAATGACCTAATAGAGTCCAGTTAATTTTGTGGAGAGTTGTGAGGAGAAAGGGAGCCTGTTTGGGGGGTTAAAAAGTACCAGGTTGCCAGGAGACAGAGTGGGAGAAGGGGAAGAGGTAGAACTAGGCTTTGCCAAAACAGCATTACTGTATTGTCAAAGAAGGTTCCTAATGTATGCCAGAAGGGGCCAGAAAAGATAATGAGCAAGGGGTAGTAGAGAATCAGAGGTTGGCAAGCTGAGCAGGGAGATAGGCCATTCATACAGAAGCTCGAAAGGGGAGATGTTGAGTGGCTTCTTTGGGAGGGCTCATAACCTAAGAGCCAAAGGAAGGAGTTTAGTCTAATCTGAATGTAATTCAAGGGATAGTTTAGTGAGAATGTTCTTCAAGGTCTGGTTGGTACATTCACCTTGCCAGAGGAATGAGGATGTTAGGGTATATGAAAATGTCAGGAGATGTTGAGTGCCTTAGCTACAGACCGTGAAACATGGGAAGTAAATTCAGGACCATTATCAGACTGGATTGAGGAGGGGAGGTCAAATCAGGGAAGAATGTGTTCAACGAGGGTGTTGGCCAATATAGTGGCACATTTATTGGTTGTAGGAAAATCCTCCATCCATCCTGAGAAGGTGTCAACAAGTATCCAGAGAAATTTGTACTACTTGACTGGAGGCATATGGGTGAAATCTAGCTGCCAATCAGAGCAAGAGAGATGTCCTGTTGCCTGGTGTAAAGAGAAGGCAGGTGGGCAGAGATTGGAGGTGGGATTGTTTTTTTGGCAGATTTCACAGGAGGCAGAGAGGGTAGAGAGAAATTATAGGTCCTCTGGAGAGAGAGAGTTTAAGGTGAGAGAGTTTAAGCAAGGACCTTATAACCTCTTCTTTAAAATTGGAATTAGGAGCCTAAAGATATTAGCTGGAATTTATAATACTTAAAAGTGGACTTGGTATGAAAGAAGCCTAACTCAGTTTGCTTAAAAGATATCTTTTATACAACTCCACCTTGTTTCCCATTCCAGGGATATTAGCTTCTTATGGTTGCTATAACAAGTTACTTTACCACTATTATCTTAGAGTTCTATGAGGTCAGAACATCTGTCTCATTGGGCTAAAACAGAGTTGTTAGCTTTCCTTTCTGGAGACTCCAGCAGAGAATCAGTTTCTTTGCCTTTTCCATCTTCCATAGGTCACTCACATTCCTTGATTCCTGGAACCTTCCTCCATTTTCAAAGCCAGTATATGTATATTTTTAAATGAAAGGCTTATTTTCTTTATATTTTAGAGTCTGTACATATGACCAGTCACCCCACATCTACCTAATATCTACATGCCTCATTGGCACAGATTATGTCACAAAGCATCACAACAGGACCCTGCAATTCCCTCAAGCAACAAAAATAACAAATTATAAATTCTACTCATTGCACTAATCTTACTAAATCAGTAAGAAAATGCATTTTAAAAAGTATTAAACAAAAAAATTGCGTGCTTAAACCATGGTTAGCAGGACAATTAGAACTGTTCATTTCAAAGTATTGTATTCAGTTCTTCAGAATCATTTTAATTGTATTGAATTTTTATTAAAATATAAAATAGATTTTTCTTTATTTTTGTTTTGTGGTACTAGGAATTGAGCCCAGGAACTCCAATATGCTAAGCAAGTGCTGTGCCACTGGGCTCCACCCCCAGCCTTTTTTATCTTTTGAGACTGGCTCTTGCTAAATTGCAGAGGCTGGGCTCCAACTTGCCATCTCCCTGCCTCAGCTTCCCTAGTTGCTGGAATTTGAGGAATGCGCCACCCTGTCCAGTACCACAGGTTGTTTTTTTTTTTTTTTTGGAGGTGGCTACTGAAGGATTTAAGAAAAATACTGATTAGAGTACTACATACCAAAAGTAGGCGAGTTTCAGTAAACTRTGGGGTAACTTCGTTTTTTCTGTCTCTTCCATATTTTCACTAGTGAAAATACAGCATTTTTATAACATTAAAAAACGAAATTAAAAAAAGAATCATCAACACAATGGTTGACGGTATCAAAAAGATCCAGACATCTGTAGTTATAAGGCCTGATTTGTAGGGTAGTGTATGGTTTCTGAAGTCTCAGACACCTAAGTGACAAAGGTCTTGTTTTTCAACACTTCCATCCAAAGTGTAGTGATTAAATGTTGTCTGATAAATAAAACTTATTTAAAAATGAATGTGAACCTTTTCTGGACATCTACCATCATTTTTCTTCAGCTGGCAAATTTTAGAGCCTCCTCACTGACACGAACTCTCAACATTTCCTCACATTTGTGGTGGCCCAGGATCACCTGCGCCCCCCACCCGGCCGCGTGCACACGCCACTCTGCGATGGGGCCTTTGGCAGTGGGGATTTGGGACGTAACCTGTGCAGGCCGAGCGGGTGCCCCAAARGTCGGCCCTACCGGGAGCCTGGGCAGCGGCGCCCAGGGTCGGGATCYGGTCGGCGCCGCAGCCGGCTCTGTCCGCGAGCCCAGCCTGGGCCCGGAGGGGGAGCCGCGCTGGGGGCGGCAGCGGGGCGGGGGCGGCAGCCTGGCGGCAGCTCCTGAGCCCGTGGGGGAGGAGCGGCGGCGGCGGTAGAGCTGCTGTGGCGACCGACGCGAGGCAGTGGCAGAGGAGACCCACCCCTGTCCACATGGACAGTCGCGAGGGCCTCCGCTGATGCATTCACGGCTGGGCGGGGTGGGCGGACAGCCGTAGCGGAGGCGGCTGCAGAAGGAGCGAGTGATCCGGAGGCGCCTGACGGTCGCGGAGACCTAGCCGCCCCGGCGCGGCGGGTGCGGCCATTTTACGGCCTGGGACGGAGGGAGGCGTGTTTGAGTGCTCGCCTTCCTTCTCCCTTCCTGGGGTCCCGCGGCTGAGCGAAGCGTCCCTGGCGGCCTGGGTGGGCGGTGGATGGGGAGTCGTGGGCCGAGAGGAAGTAGGCCCGGGAAGCGCCGTCGCCGTCGTCGCCGCTCACGTTCCCCCGGAGGAGCCTGAGGAAAAGCCCAGGCCGCGGGCCTCGCTATCGCCCGTCAGCCTGCGGATAGGCCCGGGCGCGCCTGGCCTGCTTTTGTGTAGGCCCGTTTGGAGGTGGGAGCGCCGCCTGCCTGCCGGCTGAGCCCGAGGCCCGCAACCCTGCGGCGGCTACCCTCCTACGGCGCGGCCCCTCATCCCGGCGAGCACGGCGGCGGTGTGGGCCATGGATTAAGAAGGAGGCGGCGTGGGAGGAGGAAGATGGCGGCCGGCAAGAGCGGCGGCAGCGCTGGGGAGATTACTTTTTTGGAAGGTACGTCTGTTTCGGCCTTTGCGGGGAGGGTAGGGGAACGTGGCCCCCGGGACTCCGGATAATCAGTTATCTGCGCTAGGTGGGTGTGGGGGCGGCGGAGTGCGAGGGGTGGGCCAGGGCGGAGAGGGAATGTGCCGCGGAGGCGCCGGGTTCGAGACTGCCGGGGCGCGGGGCTTGGCCGCCCCAGTTCGAGGCGGCGCGGGTGGATCGGGCTGCGAGCCCGAGTTTGTGGGCTTCTTTCCGAGAGTTCGCACAGTAGTCTTTGACATTAAAAATTTTTCTTTCTTCTGACGGTTGCCTAAGATAAGAGCAGACTGCACTGGGGTCTTGTTGGCGTTTCTGGAAAGTTTCGAATTGCTAAGGTTGTGTGGAATCGGGGGCCGCGCGAGGGGAGGGGAGAGGTATTTTGGTCTTAAATACCCATCCGTGTGTTCCACAGAGCTTCGGGCTTCCTTTTGCAACCGGCGTTCAGATTAGGCCTGGCTGTGTCCTGTAGTCTTAGGAAACGTGTGTGTGTTTTTTTTTTTTGTTTTTTTTTTTTTGCTAAACATATTTTCTAAAATAATTTATTTGGAGAAAGAGATTGAGGTTCACAGTGTCGGTTTTGAAACAGTCACTAAAGCTAATAGACGAAGTTTAGGTGTTTCCATTTTGATTCACTTGTGAGGAGAAGTTAAACATTTACTGTTAGTGACTCTACTAGTCTTAAGAAAAGCTGTTTTCGTTGGGGATGGTGTTAGTGGGTAACCATTGGCTTATTGCCCGTGTATATAAGGACCCTCAAAATACGGCTGAATTTCGTTATAGTTGTGGACCAAGAACTTAAATGTTCAAGTTACTTATTTGACTAAGGGTTCAGKGTTTACACTGGTAATCGAATTTGTAAATATATTTAGGGAAATGAGTCTGTACTGTATGTAATTTAAAAAAAATAATTACTCTGTATAATTTTTTACTTTTAAAAATGGAATATGTAGAAGTGATAACTTTTTAAAATAACTAGAAGCATTACTGAATTTTAAAAGTACAATTTAATTTAAAATTAAGCAAGATCCTTAGTGGTAGCAGGAGGTGTTGGGATGGATGTGACTTGTATACTGCTTTAACAGCATACAGTTATGGGAACACTTAGTACTCAAYATTAGTCTAACAAATGAGTAAAGGCTAATAGAGGTGGAGAAAAGAAATTTGCTTAATTCTTCCTACTTGCATATAGAAGTGAAAAAGTCTTAACCTTTGATGTGCAGGTCAGCCTTAGAAATTCCTAGTAAGAAGATAATGCGGTGGGAGGGGGGCTGGGGTTGTGGCTCAGTGGTAGAGTGCTCACCTAGCATGTGTGAGGCCCTGGGTTCCATCCTCAGCACCACATAAAGATAAATAAATAAATGTATTCTGTCCATCTACAACTTAAAAAAAGAAGAAGATAATGCTTGTGAATTTTTATGAGTTCATTTCCTATTATCCATCSTAGTTTGGGCAGTGTATGTACCTGTCAAGAGAATGAGAGTGGTTTTTGTGCTAACAGGTCAGTGATATGTGTGTTATTTTTTGTTTTGTTTTGAAGTAGGAAATTGAAAAGATGATTTAGGTATTAATTCAGTATGCAGATTATACTTTTGTGTCAAAGTAAGTTTCTGGCTTCTATAGGCTTCTGGGTCACTTTAGTTCTGATTGGATGAACATGAGAAGGATAAAAGTAACACAAAGGTAACATGTAACAGAGCTGATGGGAATTTGAAACTATTGCTTTTAGTTTATTCTAATTAAGGTCTATTAATATACAGGTGAGATAAATTAGAGTTTCACCTTATCTCATTCAGCATTTTCTAAATAAACAAATACTATTTAGTCCTACTTTTAATACTAGTAGTGGTACTAATTTTCCATGATTTTTTTGGTTTCTCACACTTCTATTTTTTGTTATTTATTTATTTATTTATTTTAATTCTCGGCGGACACAACATCTTTGTTTGTATGTGGTGCTGAGGATGGAACCCGGGCCGCATGCATGCCAGGCGAGCGCGCTACCCCTTGAGCCACATCCCCAGCCCCAAAGAAGCAGAACTTTTACAAGTTTCCACTATCTGTTTAATGTTTATTGTTTTAGTTTTCGGTGGACACAACATCTTTATTTGTATGTGGTGCTGAGGATCTAACCCGGCACTGCATGCATGCCAGTCACACTTTTAATAATGAAATACTTTACTGTAATTTGCATATGATTTGTACTACAGTGTTTAAAGATTTCTAAATGTTTTCCCACAAGTTTTTAGATTTYAACATTAAAACATCTACACATTACACTTGGTGTTCTTTCCAACAGAGCTCTTCAAAAACTGAAGTAGGTTTTCATTCACTCATCAAATATTTATAGTAGCCTACTCTGCTAGGCACTGTATCAAGTTGAATACAACAGTGCATAAGATAGTCAAGGTCCCTGCCTTCATAGAACTTTAATTTTAGTGGGAAAAACTGTCAGTAAACAAGTAAAAAATAATCCATTTAGAGCAGTCTTTTTTCACATAGTTCACTTTTTCACCAATCTAAAAAAGTCATAAAAGGAAAAAAACTCCACTTAGTAGTTATAAGGAAGCAAAATATATTTTGGAGCAAAGGTCATATAGCTCCTCAAACTTTGAATGATCAAGCAATGCTAACTCCTCTTTGCACTCACTAAAGTAAATGGCATTATCTCCCAACACCTCAAGCCAAAATCTTACTGATTTCTCCTTTACTCTGCACCTCAATATACAATCCATTCTGTCTTACAAACTCTACATTCAAATGTATTTTCAATTTTCCCCCCAATCTCCACTGCTACCATGGCAGTACTTCAAGCTAGCACCACTTCTAGACTGCTACAACGTTCTAACTTATCTCCCTACTGCTACTCTTGCTCTTCTCTTATTCCACATAGAGAAGTCAGTGATTTGCACATGTACAAATGTGGCATTACTTTTACTGTTTTACTTTTCATGTCAGCCCTTATTGCATGATAAATTTATTTCTTCCCATTTTTTATACTACTAAAATATAAGCTCTATACTACCATATTTATCTCTTTAATGTCATATTTCTGGCACTACCTGGAATGTGTTTGTTATTGATGAAATAAACCAGATTATAACTGTTATAAAGGCTGTGGGAAAAGGTACAAAGTAGTGGTCCATAAGCTTGTTTTACAGTGTTCAAGTAAAGGAGAGGCATCATTGAAGAGGTGATGCTGACCACCTTGACTATGAAACACTTCCAAGGGGATGATAGGTGTAAAGGCTCAAAGATGATGTATAATTCTATTCATTAAATAAAATGGAACTGATTATGACTGAAATGTAGCAAACCAAGGAGAGAGTGATGTAAGAGGCAAGAGATCTATCGTGCAGGCTAGTGAGTTTTTCTTTCGTTCTAGGCATTGGGAAGTCATTTTTAGAATTTGGGGCAGTGGGAGTACCATGATATTTATGTTTTTTAAAAATCACTGACTTCTCTATGTGGAATAAGAGCAAGAGTAGCAGTAGGGAGATAAGTTAGAACGTTGTAGCAGTCTAGAAGTGGTGCTAGCTTGAAGTATTGCCATGGTAGCAATGGAGATTGGGGGGAAAATTGAAAATACATTTGAATGTAGAGTTTGTAAGACAGAATGGATTGTATATTGAGGTGCAGAGTAAAGGAGAAATCAGTAAGATTTTGGCTTGAGGTGTTGGGAGATAATGCCATTTACTTTAGTGAGTGCAAAGAGGAGTTAGCATTGCTTGATCATTCAAAGTTTGAGGAGCTATATGACCTTTGCTCCAAAATATATTTTGCTTCCTTATAACTACTAAGTGGAGTTTTTTTCCTTTTATGACTTTTTTTAGGGAAAAGGAGACTTACTGCCTACTCTTGTACATTCTTTGTTTTTTTTTTTTTTTTTTTTTAAAGAGAGAGTGGGGGGGGACAGAGAGAGAGAGAGAATTTTAACATTTTATTTATATTTTTTCTTAGTTCTCGGTGGACACATCTTCATTTGTATGTGGTGCTGAGGATCGAACCCGGGCCGCACGCACGCTAGGCGAGCGTGCTACCGCTTGAGCCACATCCCCAGCCCCTACATTCTTTGTTTTGTTTGTATATTATCACACTAAAATTGTATGAATTTTATTGGGCCATGGGTTGTTGAATTTATTTATCTAATTAGCTTTTCTCTTTTGGGCTCATTTCTTTTGCATCTGTTTACTTACCGTTTGTTGTCTCATAGCTTTTTCCCACTTATGATAGATGGTTTTACCATTTTTCTCATTATTCATTCAATAGATATTTGTTTAGCACCTGTTATGTTACAGGCACTGCACTGTGAGGCACATGGTGAGGGGGAAGAAAGGGTTCTCCATAGAATTTCCAGTATGGTGAGGAAAGTCAATAATCAAACAATCACTTGTAAAATTAAAACCATCAAAATTTATATATATATATATATATATATATATATATATATATATATATGTTTTTTAGCTGGACACAATATCTTTATTTATTTTTATGTGGTGCTGAGGATGGAACCCAGGGCCTCATACATGCTAGGCGAGTGTTCTACCACTGAGCCACAACCCCAGCCCCAAACCATCATGTTTTAAGAATTAATGATAGTTGTTTAAAATAGGATTTGACCTAATCAGGGTGGTTTGAAAGATGAATAGGAGAAGGGGAAGTAGGGAGATAAGAGCTTTCCAGGCAGAGGGAATAAAATAGGAGTGTGGCATATTAGGGGAACTAAGAAAGGACAATATGGTCCTAGCAAGAAGAATGGTGCAATATGAAGCTAAAGGGACATCATCAGAATTGCTGCAAAGAAGGTCACCCGAAGATAGCCTTAGAGGGTCAACAGATTATCAGGGAAACCAGTTAGGAGATGCTTGCAGTGTAGGGTAAAGATGATGATAGCTAGCTCGTTCTAATAAATTTTTTTTAATATTTTCCCACTATCTCCTAAATGATTGGCATTCYGTGGAGTATGAGCAAGG